TCTGTGCTTATTCTTGATCTAATTTTTATCTTTAAGTTACATGCCATTATTTATACAATATTTAAGTTACGTGTTGTATATTGCAGAGAAAAATGTAAGAGTTTCGATGAAGAAAGCAGTTCTTTAAAGAAGTCATTGCAAGAAAAGGGTTGGAAATCTTTGCGTTAAACTATTCGACACATTAAGCTATGCACGTACGATTTTAGACCCTAAATGCTCTATACGTTATTTTATAGTAATGTATTCAATATTTTAGAAATATATTATTAGTATTAAGACTAGTTTTATATTTCTGTTGCACATTATTTGTGTAATAAGTATACTACATAAAAATTAGAAAATACGAATACATTATTTTCTTAACTTTAAATATTACTCCCAATTTATATTAAGTAACTAACATACAAGCTTAAAAATTTGTTTTATTAATTATTAATTACTAATCTAAATCCACTGCTTAAAACAATTAAGGGATATTGCGACTTCGATATGAAATAACCATTTAATCGGCAACTTTTTCAACAAAAATGAAATAGAATACCTATGGTTTCTATTTCGTTGACATAAGACTACCGTGCTGCCCGCACAGGAATATCTCAGATGGAGATGAGATAAGGGGAGCAACGTGATCATCACGGATAAATCCCGCTTTAGTGTACAACTTGAGACCAGCGGATTCTTATTTGGAAAGAGCCTGGTATACGGAATACTCACGCATTTGTACATGAAAGGGTCCGATTTGGTGGATTGGCGATTCTATCAATAAGGACATCGACCTGCACATTATCAGGAATTTAGCGCTAACGGCTCAGAGATAGAGGGATTATTTCTTCAGACCTATTGCGGTCTTTTACGCTGCAGCATTCGGAGATGAATTCATTCTTATGGATAATAACACCAGGCTACATCGTGCTCAGCTACTGGACAATTTCCTTTTCGACGAAGAGGCCTACCAGCGGCCGAGCGGTAAAATCGCTGAACACTGGTAGTTCGGTCCGAGGTTTGAATCCCACGAACAGGCTGGCTGCATGGGCGTTTCCGTAGTTTTCCCCATTTGTAACATGTATACGAGCCAGTTTCCCTTAGAAAGTCCTCCACGAAGGCATCCCTTCCCTTAGGCAGATAGCCCTAGTGTGCTTTGCCGTATTCTCAATACACCAATACACCTTTTCGACGAAGGAATCCTTCGAATGGATTGAAAAAAATGTTCCCCAGATATGAACCCAATAGAACCTGTTTGGGACATTCTAGGGAGAATGGCTGCTATTCGCTTATCACCCCGAAAAACAGTTCAGCAGTTTTAAACTCTCTTCTGCAGGAGTGGAAGAGAATACCCCAGTCTCTCATCGATAATCTCATTGATTGCATGCTTCGTAGGTGTGCGACACTGCTTCAGGGTAAAGCATACCCCTTATTGAAACTCATTTGTATCTGAGAGATCACCCTTTTTATTTGTTTTTATAATATGCACAAATTGCGTATTTTTTGTTTATTGACAAATATCGTCAATAAAATTTAATTATTCCTTATTCGTGGCTTCTTTTTCTTTTCTCATATCTTACAATATCTATACACCATATATTTTTTCCATTTAATAAAAACCATAATGTAAAATTTTCTAGAACCACTGAATATAGTGACCTCAAAGATTACAGGAGCTTATTGTCTCTTTGCACAACTTATTTTGTAGGATTATATTACAAGGCAGTTCTGTTGGCGCCTAAATCTATGTTGGACCTAGCTCATATGGAATTATCACCAATGGATACGAATTATGCTTGAATAAAGTAGACTTGATACTTGTCCAATCACCAGCTAAAGTCTCTCTTCCCAAGCACCAGCTAAGTCTTACCTCAGTCCATTTGTACACCACCAGGACAGCACCGAAAATAAAACAGATACCAGCTCACGGCGAACATTAACCACATAATAATGCCCTTCTAAATATCCCCCCAGCACGTTCAACAGTTTTACGTGAAGTTGTCGTTCCTCTGTACATATCTTTCTTTTTGATGTCGCATTATACTATTGCATTATCTTTCATAATTGAACCATTGTGAAATTATAATGTTGATTTTTGTTTATTACTATTCTCAATCTTGTAAATGCTTCTAATGTTTTAATTGTATTATTGTTATTTGTTTTAATATATCACTTGTCAATAAAAGCCATATTTGTAAAAGGCATCACAGACAAAACTGCTGATGTTTGGATACATCAGCGGTTTTGTCACGGACAACATCTAAAAATTTCATCTGATATCAACAGATGTTGTAGCGGAAGAGCGATAACAAACGGTTCGATTTCATCGATGGAGGAATAAAACCTCTAAAGTCTTTGCGACAGATAGAACTCTCGTGTGGTATTTTGAAGTTCAATTTTCTACGTAAATACTATTCGTACATTTTCAAGAAATATATTAAAAATACCCCTAAAATTAAATTCAACATCTGGAATGCCTTCTAGTTGAGAAGATTTAGATTTTCTCCAAAGAACGAGGGGGAGGGGGGACAATGCGTACCAGGCACGTAATCGGAATATTTAAGAGGAAGAAAGTGCAAAATGTTTTGCTAATGTACAAAAAATATATGTTTACAGCTGGCATGAATTCTACTGTATGTTGTAAACCCAAGCTTAAATGACCAATATAGACAATTCTGTTCTTAGCTGGAAAGAATTAATCAAATTTTGAAATTTCAACTGTTAACGAGAAGGACAAGGTCCTCAGGAGATCCGATGCAGCATTTCCCAGCAGGGTACGGGGCGAAGCTCCAGAAACCAACTTAATATTAAAAATCTGATAAAGATTCTCAACGTTTTACGAAAATAACTGAATATAAAACTTCTGTTTTTTACCTCAGGCCCAACTGCCTACGTGCCTATTCTTATGTTTCGACTAAGGTGTTGTTCTTATGTTTCGGCTTTTATTTAATCTGCATGCAATAGTTGTGGAATTATTAACAACTTAAAAGCTTAAATGGTGCTAAGCCACCATATTTGTTTACATTTGAAGCTCTTAGTGGATTAGTCAATTAAGTCAATTGTTGCACCAATTTTTTGGCCAAGTGGGACCAAAGTTAACTTTCAATTTTGTGCACCGAAAAATCTGTCTTCCTTCCCGCTGGCTGCATTGTTTTTTTTAACCTAGAATCTCTGCTTTTAATTGTAACAATTGTTTTTTTTAAACCGTTTTTAATTATATTTGGTGTTTTATGTTTTTTTGTATGTTATTGTTTTTAGCGAAGATGTTTCGAGTTTTTATGTATTTTTGCGAAGTAAGAACTAAATTAGTTGAATGCAAAATATCTCTCTAATGAAATTCGAGGAAACAAGTTAAGAATGAAATGCAGAAAAAGCATGCAATTTAACAGTCGGACAAGGAAGTCATGTGGTGTCCACATCTGATATTTATATTAAATGGAACGAATCGAATATTGTTTGTATACAAAAATTAAATTTAATCAGCATTAAAGTAATGATATAAAGTGAAGTTAAAAATTTTATGAAAAGCTGTTTCAAAGTTGATTTTATAATATTGGCTATAATATCTATAATATAGTTTTTATGCCTTATCTATTAATTTAAACTAAAAAATTTCTAAACTCCAAGATACTGAAGTACCATTGCACTATCAAGATTGTCAACTTCTGATCTCTAATCTCCCGATACCAACATTTTTGGAATTTTATATAATATTTCAACAAATTAAACACAATGCAGTGCTTTTAGAGTGCACTATCAAGATTGTCATCTTCTGATCTCTGATCTCCTGATACTAAATTTTTTTTGTATTTTATATAACATTTCAACAAATTAAACACATTACATCGCTTATAAGCAATTAAAAAAAACTAAATATTTCTGCTTTTTCTTAATTTCTTTTCTGACAAGCATATCAGTTGAGGCAAGCATATCAGTATCTTTATTTCTGCAACCCAAAGAGTATGAAAATTCCAGCTAATTTAGGAATGTTCATTTATGTTTTCAACTACCGAAGTGACTGAAGTGTTCAAGGTTACTGAATGTAAATGTGTAATTTAAACTCATTCGAAAAAAGGCATTTTTCAAAGTAGGGGAGGAAAAAAAAAAAAAAAAAAAAAAAAAGAGCCAGAAGATTTTTCCCTGATATCTACTAATCGTTGAAGCAACAGATGCATGCTACCTGGAGTGCTGTGAACTTACGGCCGATCTTAACTCTAAACGGGGCTCATTCATGTGTAATAAGCCAATTTGTATTCGCGAAAGTTAATCGAGTTCGGTCAAATACGATTCTCTGCAAGCTTTCACTTAGGCGCCCAAACGAACACGTTCACCACGTGACTTGAAAAGTGATTACGTGTTTACAAACATTTCTATTTTTGTTTCTGAAAGAGACAGCTTCTCTTGCTGCACGGTAAAACTCTCTCAAGTTGCATTTTAATTGACACGGAAGAGTTGGGGATGACATGAAATATTCATTAAATTAACTTTGCGAAATTTCGTTAAATTTAGACGTGAAAGCATATTTCTTTTAGCTCAAACGCTCTCTTTTTATTTTCCGTAATCTGCTGAGAATATCATGCCTTTCAATATAACTTTAGACTATATCTCTTATTACTTGGACATTTTATTATCATATATATAGCACATAAAGTACGAGAAGATTTTATATGCAATATGACAATTATCGCATCTGGACTTGATTGGGCTGGATCTATTGGATTATGGGAAAGCATGCTAGTACTGTTTTCCTTAAGCGATGAAATCCTTTCAAGGCCCATTTCCATTAGTGCGTTGCGAACGCGTAGCGTCATTGGAAGAAACAAATACGCAGACGGAAGACCGTTTACACTAAGGTCCGTACAGCAAAATTAATAAAATAAAATAAAAATATGAAAGGTTTCAGATTTTTAAATTACGTCCAAAAAGGCACTTTTTTTTAACATTTTGTCTGTTACCTTTATTTATTAAATATCACTTTCTTCGCACTTAAACCCAAAAATTCAGTTCAAGAGCAATAAGGGGATGTAGCTCAGTGGTAAGAGCGCTCGCTTCGCATGTGAGAGGCCCCGGGTTCAAACCTCGGCATCTCCACTTCTTTATTTTACATAGTACATGTTTTTAAAGGGGAGTGGAAGATTTTTATGCATCGACCATTTGAACCACAGACGCCCGGATAATAGCATGCCATTCCATCGGCTGTGCAAAATTATCATGTTAGCTGATCCAGTAGACATTATTGCTTTTTCATCACTTTCGGACACATTGTACATGTGAGCTACTGATCTGTATATGCGAGGGGCTCATCACTCAATCTCACGAGATTTTTCTCTCATCTGACTTTGCCATGATATGTTAGGGACGATATGTTCTTTTCCGCACGAGTTACACACAGGATGCGGCTACCAGCCTAGGTGCCTGACAAAAGTGTGCAAACACCTGAGCCTTCAAGAGCAATATCGCAAAATAGTTTTAAATTGAGCATATCTTTAGAATTACCCATACAGAGCCTCGCGCCCTGGAGATAAATATGTTTTTTCTGTACAACTTCGCCATTGCTCGCTTTGAAATCCTTCACTTCAGGCGCGATACCGACGCTCTCTTGGGTTCCCGTGATGATTTCGCTATCCCAGAATAACATGATATTTAAAGATTTTCGAACACATGTGAGTTCATAATTCTCTTGTGGTTCGGTGAAGTCCATAGGAAATATGGAGGAAAGGAATAAAATCATGTCAAGTAAAATCCTTCAGGGACAGAGCCCCTTTGGACTAAAAAAACTACACTGGTTAGTAGAAATGAATACTACAGCAGACTGGTTGACAGCGTGCTCGACGTGAGCGTAAAATACCTTAACAAACCTTTTAGGTTGACCGTTAAAATCTAAATTCCTTCAGAATTTTTCCTTTCCTTTTTTTTTGTTTTTTCTTATTAATGTAAATTTGGGGGGGGGGATACAAGAAAATTTTTTGCATAAGGGTCCAAGAGTTCTAGTTACGCCACTGCTCTTCACAGATTTTAAAATTAGGTACAATCCTCATTTGCTTACCTAAGCAATTGGTACAAAACGCTCTTGATATTTTCAAGCAAAATTGTGTTCTAAAGTCAGGAAAATGTGTCTTTTAAATCTATCATTATATGGTTACTGTATTAATTTGAGAAAATCATATGCTTATCCATGTTATTAAAATTCAAAATAGCGGTAAAATTGTTTGAGCACTAACCTTATGATATTTGCTAATTTATGAAATAAATTAAAAAATTTACGAAGCGCCATTTTTTTATTATTATTTTTATTTCAAGGGAAAAAATCACGAAGCTTTTGAATTATGCATTGGGGTAAACTGAAAGAATAAATTTTTGCATTTAGTATATTTTCTTATTACTATAATTAACCAATGAATTACCTTCCTTCCTTTCTTGATTAGGCACCAGTTTGCTAATTCATGTTGACTTTCATCAGTCAATGGGAAAACGCTTTTTTTTTTCAGACACTCTATGGCAATAATTTTCAAAATAACATAAATTGGCAATCTATTGGAAGTTTTCAAGAATTAATTCCAAACGATTTTCTCTACCCTTAAATATAATTTTAAACAGGGAAAAAAAGAGTATTAGTTAGTTTAATACTAAACAGATGGCGCCACAATCTTGTAAAAGCACAAAAATAATGGGTAAACTTCAGTCAGTTTTAACCATGGAGGTAGGAAAGGGAGGAGGGGCCATTCCGCGCTAGAAGTGAAGCACTGCTTTGAAGCTTGGGTCACGAGACGGGGTGTTCTTTGTTTACATTCAGAAGCTCGCTTGACAAGATTCTGATAGTATTTCGACACACGACAGTTCCATAGAAATCGAAAAAAGGGACACTCTCGCATGAAAGAAACATTCATAGTGTGATGGATAATAGCAATTTGTATAGTTTACTGACATTTACGCAAAATCACATCTTGGTTATTTTTCGATAACTAACAACAGCGATTTTGATTATGAATTTGTTTTATAAAATTCTAAGCTGTTGCACTACAAAAATATAGATTTTAAGAAAATTGCTAAAGAGATCTGCCAAAATTTATTTTTCTAGAAGATTTTGAAAAGTTTGAAACTTGATGGCTAATGTAAATATAAAATTATGTATGTTAAAATATTTGTAATTAGGCACATAGGTCAGATTAAGTTTTTATTAAATAGAGTAACGCATGCAAGGGCTATCTGCCTAAAGAGAGAGATGCCATCGTGGAGGAATTTTGAAGAAAAACTGACCTTTGAGTGGGTATTAAAAATAATACTTATAATTTTCATTCAAATTATATTCATATATATTTTTTATGTAAAACTTTCGGGTGTATGCTAAATTAGTGTAAATTACTTTACACGAAAAATATAGTGAATGCACAGAAATTAAAGATTTGCCACATGCCGGAAATGATAAATAGGAAATATGTATGGGTATTTTATGCATGTGCTTGCAAAAAGCATGTATCTGCCTTTGACAAAATACTTAAATATTCATTAAATTATTTATAAATGTATTTGAAATGAAGAATTTATTTACTTATAAACAACTGTGAAAGTACTGTGAAGAAATCTAATGATTAAATGTATCTAATTTATAATGATTATAAATGTTATCTAAATATATAATAACCTTAATATTGAATTGTAAACATAAATTGAAATCCTGTTGACAAATACGTTATAAAACTATTTAAGCAAGAATTGTTCGTATTGGAAAGCAATCTGTTAAAAGGTATTGTAAAGCAAAGCTATGAGATGCGCACTTAAGAACGTAATAAAGAGTTTTGGAATATGTATTGTTGAAATGAAGGGTAAAAAAAAAAAAAAAAAAAAAAAAAAAATGATAAGTATAATTAAAAGAATTATTCCCTTTACATTTATAATAACTCAGTTACAAGTTTTTAAATAATACTTAAAAAAAAAAAAAAAAAAAAAAAAAAAAAAAAACTTATTTTATTTCAGAAATTTCAGAGAAAGTCAAATACTATTTAATACCTATTTAATTATTAGGATTAGCGAAATACTTATTTAAAGTATTTCGCTAATTCCTAATTTCTCTAATTTAAATGAACCGAATAGAGCAATTATAATTGACTTACATTTTTCGATTTAAAAGAAGCCAAAAATCATGTCATATTAAGAAAGTATTTTAGGAAGAAGCTCTATAAATAGAAAAGAAATAATGCATAATTTTAATATTAATAATACAATAAACTTTGATCTTAATTTTTGTACCTTAACCGAATAAAATCGAATTACCTTAATTTTTTTTTTCTAATGTAATTAACGAAAACTTGTGAAAATATTTCATTCAAATTAAACCATTCTGAGAAAACTGTCCTGTGAAAAGTATAGCATTTAATTCCGTTCAGAATGAAATGTTGTTTAAAAATATGTTTTTTTCACATACTTAGGACTCTGAAGTGTTGTAGAAAAAGAAAATATATACATTTATATGTATATTTGCGACGTAATTACAAAATATTTACACCCGAGCGCGTCAAATCCCATAGAACTCAATGGTAAATGACCCAATGTTTTGGTCACCACGTAGGGATCGCCGGTGCTTCAGAGCAGGGTACGGAGAAACTTGTTTAGGGCGACTCCATCTTACTTCCTACCTCCATGGTTTTAACAAACGCTCACTTTACGAGAATTCGATTTAAGAGCAAATTATTTTGAACAAGACACTCAATGTCTTGAATTAGGAACTCTCAAGTCGGCAATATACGATTGTTTAAAGTGTTTTTCAGGTAACTTACGCCACATAATTAACATTTAAGAACTTCTGGAAATTTCATATTAGTATTTTCTGTTGCTTAATTCTCATTAACGATGCCTTTATAGCAAGTCAGTTACATGATCATGAATTCAGCTTTGGAGGAATTATGGGCATATTAGGTTTCAGCAGAACCGGATTTACGTATAAGGTATAGCTTTTTTTTATTAGGGCCCCCACTTTATTGGGTGCCCCTCAAATATTATAACAGACTTATAAAGGGACTCAATAGCTTAGGGCCTTATCAAGTCTAAATCTGGCTCTGGGTTTGAAAAAGAGATTCTGAGCATTATGGCTCTTAAAACGTTTTTTAATTATTATTTATGATTATATTTTTTCTCTAGGCGAAATCAGGGATTAGGTAGGAATTTAACGAAAAAGATGTGTAGAAGTTTCTAGAGCAGCGGTGTGAAACTCAAATTAAGAGTGTGCCGAATACGTGATCTGAAAGCAGCTGATAGGGCAGAATTTTTTTTTTCCTTTAATAAAATGAAAAATTTTACTAATAAACAAAAAATATTTTAAATAAATTCTAAATTTCAGTAAATATTGTAAAGAACGCCCCTGAACTCTACTAGAAAGACTTATGATGCTCTTGACTAGAGAGAACGTCGTTAGCAAACTCCTCACACTACGAGTACTATAATTCATTTTAACACCTTATTTAAAGAACTGTGAATGGCACGATTAACTGAGGATACGCATGCGTAAAGAGATGAGAGTTCTGTTGAGACGCCTGTCAGAGAGAGTTTGGGAAGCTCCGCCAGCAAGCTGAGGGGGTGGGACTAAATTTGTCCAGTGATGACGAGTGCTATCTTCGTTAACGTCTCTGATCGTGTCACCAACTCGGATATGTACTCAAGTTTTTCTAAATGTTTATTAAATGTTTGTATCTGTGTTATGTTGTGTAATTAAAGTGGATTCATCACCAATACCAGTGTTGATTCCGTTCCCACTGAAGCATCCACGCCGTCACAATATTTATCAAAACATAAGTAAATAGTAAAAATGATATAGCAAAGGGAAAAAATCCAAATTTATACATATTTTCTGTCTGAAATCTAAGCACCTGTCAGACATTTTTCTTGTCTATACTCTGAAATTCAAACATATGTTACCGTGAAAGACCGAAACATATGTCGACTTTCACCGGAGAATGTCAACATTCACCAAATACATCGGTGAAAGATCGAATATTGCATTACATTCTTTTACATTCGGACCCTCACCGGTGTATATCGACAATCGCAGATATGCTCTGGTGTAGGTCGAAAAGAGAGGTCATAAAGTGTTATAATAATTTAAGTTGTTGCAATAAATAAGATTTGAATCACATAATTTAGTAAGTTTTTATTATTATTATTTTATTTTCTCATTTAGAACGTATGTTAATTTAAGTCGTTTTTAACTTCTACTATTTCCTTTCATTTTGAATGTACCGTGTGCTTTAAATTCTTATGTTCTTAATTTCTTATTTTAAGTCTCAAGTGCGTTTTTTCGCAACTGAATTTCGGAGAAGAAAATATAATATTCTTATATGTTCAACATTCACCATTAGTACATGGTGAATGTCAACATTTACCGGTGTAAGTCAGAAATAAGAGTATTTGGAAAATATTTCGGACATACACCAAGCGACTATGTGAATGTTGACATTCACCGGTGAAAGTCGACATTCTCCAGATTTCGGTGTTTCACCGTAACATATACATGAGAGCTAAATATATTAATATTTCAGATTGATAGTTACTTCAAATAATCCAATTATCTTTGATTAATCATTAAATAACTTAAACTAAAAATAAAAAAATTATGAAAAATTTCCAAGAAATTGAGAATAAATAATGACAGCCTAGCGTCTTTGTCTTATTTATTACATTTTTCTTAGACACATTAATTAAGATACATTTGTTTCTGTGTAAATTATCCTAAATTTTATGTAGGAAAATACAACATTAATTTTTATAATGTCCAAGCACTGTAAAAAATTACTACAAGTTATTTTCATCACGGATTGTTAGATGTTCATCTGTCAATCTGTTTCCATTCTGATTAATTTTCAGGTACGAAAGGAAGAAAGTGGTTTAAGTGTAAAAATTTGTCACTGAAGTACGAATAAAAATTATTGAAATCTACGTTTTCAAATCCTTGAATAAGATTGTGGATTAATTAATTCCATTTATAGATCTAGATCTTTTGTCTGAGGTGAGGATTGGAAAATCCACTTTTTATGGTGCGTTATTCACGTTGGTTTTGAACGGTAATGGAAACAATGTAAACTAGACTTTATTATATAATAATTATTATTATATAATAAAGTCTAGTTTACACTGTTATTATTATATAATTATATTATTAATAATTCACCTTGAAATCTTTGCAACAAATACATAACTGAAATGTATTCACAGGCCGCCAGTTTTGAGACCACTGTAGTAGAGGACCATAAAAAATGTACTACAGCTTCGAAAGCAGCAACAAGAGGCGACTGTAGAAGAAATGCCTTAAAAAAGATAAAAAAGGATATGGGGGGATATTATCCTAATTCTCTGATTAACTAAATTTGTGCAAAATGGGATAAGATGCACAATTATCATGCATGTATCATCCAGCATAGGCAGTTTCAGTGGCCATGTCATATCTCACTCTAGAAACATTTTAAAAACAAATCACATTGAATAAATTCTGAGTGAATCGAAGGCCTAATGAGTCTTAATCAGAGTGGCACTTAGAGATGCAAAAAAAAAAAAAAAAAATCTGAAGAATGTCAGATTTTTAACGGCCGCTTAAAGAGCTTGGTAAGGCTCGCTGAGCTTGCAATCTACCAGTTTGCTGCTATACTCACTCCTACTATTTTTTATATGTGCAATGAAAGAAAATAATACATTGCAGTATATTTCCCAACAGTTTAATATTCACAAATACAAAATGCCCTTTTATATACAAAACAAATAAATACAATAAAGTTTATTCAGTGGTGTAAACATTAACAAATAACTACATTCAACAATATTTCTTGCGAATTAATCTACTAATATAGTAGCTTGGGTGCTTTCTCTTTATTTAATGCATTCATTATATCAAAGTGTGTTGTGTAAAAAGGAACTTTATAAGTGGATAGCTAATAGTTCTTAAAATTTCTCTATTCATTCTTTGGAATACGAATTGTTTGGTGTGTTATTCCTTCTATAAACTTATAGTTTGTGATAATTTAGCTTGTTATCTACGAATATATCATTTATTATTTAAAATTAGAAGCTAAGAATTTTTCTTTATTTCATATAGATTTTTGTATGCAGTCTTCCTATGTACGAGAATCTCTGCGCGGGGAAGAAAATTTTTCAGCAAAAGAGGTTTTCTATAACAGATACTTCTGTATTTATAGAAAATTTCATTAATTACATAAATGATTTTTAACTGATTTTTATAGTTTATTAACTTATTCTTCTCAGACGTGTTACTTAACAAACTTTGGGATGTAATCCATAACTCAAATTACATAATAAATGTTGCAAGGTTCTGTACAAAAAAATATTGAAATTTATGATGGAAATATTTTAAATTTTCATTATTATTTCTGAAATTTTTAAATTAGACTTAAGTTTAACTGTGTCTATTATTTTAAAGTCCGTTATAGTTTAGATTTCAGGTTAAATTATCAGTTCAAGTTTAATACTTACCAACTTGAAATTTGTAATAATTCATTTGAAAAATAAAAATTATCATTCAGTAACTTTGGAAAAAAATAGGATATTACGATAGTATAAAAAATAGGATAGGAAGTTAATGGGAGAAATTCTCAATGTGAGTGTAGATACACTCTTACTGCTCTCTTATAATTACAGTAATAATTTTGTAATTCACATCTACTTTAGCATAACTGTAAAACTTACAGTTGGTTAAAATATTAAAGATATTCATGTAAAAGATACTTCATAACATTTATCTGGAGATTTCTAAATTACAAAAAGGTATATTGGATTTCTCAAAGTCACATGTTAAATGTATAGAAATTCTCAAAAATAAATGTTTTTCCCAGTACTTGGTGTAGATGCTTTCTATGGAATAAATAATATTCATTTCTAATTTTATATTTAAGATCAGTAAATATTAAAATACAATTTAACCACTGTTAAACAGCTCATTTCCTAAAGTATAAAAGTTTGTCCCATTGTTTCCGTACAAAGTTCAGGCGCCACGTAAAACCCATTGCCGATTAAAACCCTTCATCTCATAGCACTAGCTTAATTAAAAATTTTGCAGTCCTTTATGTTTTCTACGTTGCATTTTATGTTTTAACTTTGTTGCCGAGTGTACCAGACATCGACTGCATGGTTTTGGGTCTGAGAAGGAGGTCCGCGAGAAAGAAGCACGACTGGACTGAATGGGGGTTTTGTTTGCTGCTGAAGTTGTTCCAGCGGAGTCACTCCTCGCTGAGTATTTTGATGCTGCTGTGTTAAAGTTAATCCTCGCTGATTATTTTGTTGCTGAGCAGTTACTCTTGCTTGAAGTTGCTGCAGTTGTTCCAAGGGGCTCATCGCTCTGGGTAACTGCTCTACGGAAGTTAGTGGGCGTGGATTTTGTTGCTGCGTGTTGTGAATTAATTGATTTATTCTTCCTATTGGTTGTTGCTGTGTCGTCTGAAGCAATTGATTTATTCTACTTGTGCGCGGATCTTGTTGAACGTTGAGGGAATTTTGTGGCTGTTTCTCTACACGTAGCTGGCGTTGACCAAACGGCCCTTGATTGCCAAGATTATAAAAGCTTTGAATATCGGGGTAAAGTGCTTGGTTGTTATTTCGATTTCTACGTTGCACATCCGCATAAGGTTGATTTATCTGTGGTTGTGAGTAACGAAGTACATCATGGCTTAAATGACCGTTAGTTGGAACCTTTCCGCTCTGAATGTTAGAATATGCATTTAAGTCTACTGTCCGTAATAGTTTATCAGGATGCTGAACTTCCCGAACATCAGGTTGAATTTGCTCATAATACCTTTGGGCATCTCTGGTGTTTTGAAGCTGAGGATACTGCTTATGATGTACGTTATCATTTTGATGATATCGGGTTTGGTTTGGCACTTCTGGATACGATCTATCTTTCTCAGCAGTGTGTCGATGCTCTTTGCGCAAATCAATAAGTGTTGGTGGCTTCGGAGTCAGTTGATAGCTGTCTTCATTACCTCGATCTCTGTTGTCTCCTTTATACTGCTTATCGTCTTGAGGAAAAACTACTTCTTCGCTTTCTTCTTCGGTATCTCTTTCTTCACTATATTTATGTTTCTCGCTTTCTTCGGCTGGAAAACGTACAGAGTTTTCTTCAGATGATGTGCTCTTAGATTTTGAATAAGAAGGAGGTTTTGCGTGCACATCTTTTCGAACGCTATCTCTGATGCTTGCTATCAGAGGACTGGGATTCCGTTTCTTGTAAGAAGCGTGGCCGACGTATCCATTTTTCTCCGGCTGATCATAATCGTCATCATAACCACCTATGGGCTCTTGCTTTCGTAAATCGCTAACCGAAGGTCTTCCATTACGAGCTTGACGGCTGTTGGTTATGGGAGACTGGTAATCATTAGCGAGTTTTTTCCCTAGATTAAGATTATCCGGAGGATAAGCTACCACCGCTTTGGCACCATCGTTAGAAGGAGAATAAGCAATTGGAAGAGGAAATATTGGCAGAGGATGAGGTTGAGCCTCCACATAGTTGACTGCAGGGGGCGCCTAAAAAGAAAATAAAGAGTCTGTCAGTATGTAAGTAAGCGAATATACTGAAAGACAACTTTTTGATTTTGCACTTGTTACAACCCAGCGATTAATAACAATACTACATTTAGCTAAATATTTAAAATAAATCTTGTTTAAAAGTTTTTTGGTTCATCTTAAGTTGATATAAACATATTATATCAAGAATACGTCTTGGGTATTGAAACGTTATTTAGGAATTAGCAAATTGTTTCACTTGTCTTTCTTTTACTTTAATGCAAGATAAAAAGAAAAATTTTCTCAGAAATTTTTGTTAATTACACCTTAATTTTTTTTTATCTTTTATGTATAAATTGTATGTAGTTTAGATATTTTAATGTTATAGTACCATCGATTTCAATCAAATGCTACCATTTCCATCAGTATTTTAAGGTTTATAAGGTATTCCTCTCGCTTTCCTTGCGTGCCTTCATGGTGTAGTGGTTCTGCACGCTGGACCGGTATTCCAGAGGTCCGTGGTTCGATTCCCAGCGAATTCGTTTGCTCATTTTTCATCTTGCCTGCTTCTAAAAAGTACCTAATGTCTCTACAGGTTTGTAAGCCAAAGTTTTAAACTAAACGGCCCTTTTTTTTAAATTTCTTATTAAGTTATCCACAGTTCTAAAGATTTAATCAAATAATTTTTTATTAGGTAAATGTTTTTAGAAATTTCTACTCATGAAGCGTTATCATAATGTTTGAGTCTGAATTTAATTTTGTTAAGGGTGCTGCTTTTTATTATTGCTTTTTATTACTATTACTATTTAAACCTACGGATTATTTTTTATTGTGTGAGAATTTCAAAGATATTTACTGTTTAATAAGTATATAAAAGGAAATACAAACTTATGTGTTTTTTTGATTGGAAATAAGTAGATCCTGAGTACTTTTTTCAAATCAAAGATGTAGTAAGTAGTAAATGTAGTAAGAGTAGATGAATGTAAACGCCATTTGCTTACTTAAAACTTTCATATTATCTGAAATTTAAAATTTAATTCCCAGTTCACCTTCTTCTGTTAATAGGCAGAGCTATTTCAAAGTGATATACATAGTTATGCCACCTTCGTTTTTAGTAATTAGTCATTAATTTTAAAACAGCATAAATATTTTAAGATTATCGTCTTACAATTTCAATACAAATGAAAAAAAAAAAAACTTCTTTATTCTTAAATCTAAATGCTTCTCCTTACTTCTTTAACTCCACAGATTAAATTTTCGTATTATTTTAAAGTAAGCCCATTTTTTAAAATTAAGTAAAAAAGTTTCCGATTTCCGAACGTTATTTAGTTTTAATACGAATTATTATTTATTTGTTTATTTATTTATTTATTTGTTATTATTTTTTGCGAATATGATTTTTAACTTTTTAATTTAACTTGATTCAGCTTTGAACAAGAATTACTTCAGCTATACAAAATAGTACAAAAGCTTGAACTAGTGAGGATATAATTACTTTATGAAGTATTAGTTTTATTACTTTCATTTAAATCAATCAGTATTTATTTGATAAAAGTTCCTTAACTTAAAATATACAAAAAAAAAGTTTTTAATTGGATTGACTATCTTTGATGTCCATCCAAGCTTCATATTTAATCCCAGATATTGAATGTATTTAAAAGGTTATTCTGACAAGACAAAATGTTCATTTATTTTTGTTACCACTTCCTCTTCCCTATGCTTTAAGTCTGATAATTCATAATTTGTCTGGCACAACTGCTAGACAAAACTTTGAAATAAAGCCAGGAATAGTACAACAGAACTCTAGCTATCAGGGATTATTTAGGATTACACTCAATTGAAATAATCAGAAAACCAAAGTATGCAAGTTGTTTTTCCTTCATACCGAATACGTATTTACAGTAATAAAAATAAAATAAACCGACTTTTTTGTTTAACTTTTTAGTTTTAGCAAAGATTAAACTTTAAAAAGAATTAAATATTGAATATTTTTGTTTCTCGTAAACAAAGTACAAAATACACTTACTTTGATAAAAACCAAACAACAAAATTATTCTATATCTGTTCCAAAGCGCAACTCACTTATTTCAATTAAAATACACCGGGGGAATTAATTTTTTACTTACCGAGTCCTTAAAACTTAATACTCACCTTATTTTCAAGTTATTATTGTTTTAAACAAAGAAATATTTTTCTTTGCGTAAGACAAAAAGTATAATATATATAATTTTTTATTTAAAATAAAATTAATATTGTAATGTATATTTTTAAAGCACTTGTGATAGCTCATTGGCAAATAATATGTAATGACATATTATTAAAAAGATACACATTTCCCAAACCTTATATGGCGACAGTTTGAAAATTACATTGTTGATTTTTTGTATTATTTGAAATAAATTGTTATTTTCCCGCAAGGAATTGTTTTTATAGCAAATCAATAACCATGCAACATACATGCATTCTGTATTAATTCAATAGCTTCTAAAAATATGTAATGTTATTACATAGTTTTTGTATAATTTATATTAAAGAATAAAAATAAAAGCAGACGAATTAATCAAAAGGAAACTTCAACGGCTTTCAAAGAAGAGAAGATCGAGATAATTGAAGTTCTGTACAAAGCTAGGATTTGGTTTAGTTGATTATGAACACTAGAACTATTTGCCTGAGGGATGCCTTCGTAGAGGATTTTCTAAGGAAAGCTGATTCCCGTTCGCGTGAAATCGAATTCCGGTCAGAACTACCTAGTGTTCAGAGATTTTACTTCTCGACCGTTGGTAGGCCCTATAAAGTGAGGGAGAGGTTAAGAATATATTTAATGCCATCACTGCGCAAAATTTTGACGAGATCTAGATCTTTATTGTCATTCCCACTGCATGCGACATAAACCTTATTATATGCGAAGAATTATTGTCGCTTCAAAAGCCGTAATGAATTTCTTACAACGTTATTTGTGCCTAAAAGTTCTGCTAGGATTGTTACAAAAATGTTAAGAACGTTCAGTGCATTCCGTGTCTCACGTCTTTCTTTCTTTCTTTTATTTATTTATTTATTTATTATTATTTTTTTATTATTTTTATTTTACAAGAAGGAATATGTAACAACTGCTATCGTTAGGATACTTTGTCTTTTAAAAATATCAGTGGAACAAGAAAAATGCGAGAACCTTAATGGCTACTGACATGCGAAGGCATGAGAGGTGGAAAGCATATCTCCCATTAGATTTGTTTCATTGTAAATCCCCTCCAGATATTTCAGATGTGAGAGACAAATTAAATTAAAAAATTTGAGTTCATTATCATGAATGATTCGTACAAAGACAAAAGTTTTTGAAGACTACAAATTTAAAGATATTTCCTCTCGGAGACACAGGCAACTCCAAAATGTCAATTCTCTGAGGTAAGAATTTTTCAAAATAATGGTAAATATTTTCATTACATAAACAGACGACGAAGACACCAAACAAGCAAAATGAATTCTATTTCACCCTAAAAATTTTTAAAACCTAATTTTTTGAAATTATGTTATTTTTAATTATTTTCAAATAAGCTATCAGATATGAATATGATTTACAAAAAACCTTTATGACTACAACAGTACATGCACAAATATGTGTATGATTTTTTTTATAAATAAGCCATATACTTTATAGTGCTAAAAGTTTGAACTCAGGCAGGTTTGAATTCAGTATTTTAGAAGAATCTAAGCAAGTTTGAATTCCAGTAGATTTTAGGAGACTTTGAAGAGGTTTAAATTATGCAATTTGAATTTTGATGGACCTATCAGTATTTAAAGTTTAAATTAGTTAGGTCTGAATTCAGGTAGAGTCTGAAATTTCAGTTTTAGGAATAGTAACTGAACTCCCAATTTTATTTAAGGACAATTGGAATCTTCTTCAGTTGCAAGTCTGAAAATCACAAAAAGGAAGCATGTATTCTAGCCAAAGAAAGGAACAAAGCTACTGGAATCCTTTATTGAGAAAAAGCGAAAATAACTGCTATGAAATATTTTCGTTAAAAACCTTTTCTTTACTTTCAGCTTTTAAAGAAACTATTTCATAGTTGTCTTCATTTTTTTGTCAATAGATGGCGACAGTAGCTTAATTACTCGCCTCTGCCTAGCTAGAACTTTCTCGAATTTTTTATCGATTATTATCGCTGGACCCAATGCTTGCTTTTCTTTCGTCATTTTTACTCCTGCAGCTGCAGAAGAGGCTTCTATTCAAATCTGAGAAGCTGGACAAACACTGTTGACAAACCTTTGAACAACTTAGAAACACTGCAGAAAGATCTTATATCACTTAAATAGAGCTCTTGTATAGACACGTACAATTTAACAAGGTGTCTAGGCATTTTCCATAGATCCACCATTGGTTAACTTTTTTCTCTTACCTTCGTCTTCACTTTCGATCGCTTTTATTTATCTTCCTTACGTTTGTGGAGTTCTTTTTCTTCTTTTCTGTTTGGACTTGGAAAATCCTGAAAACCATACACGGATACTCTGGTTCTGTTACTTTAATTAGCAATACATCTCCCTCCTTAAGATTAGTAAGAATTTTTTTTTTTTTTTTTTTTTTTTTTTTTTTACAGTTGCGAATTAATATTAAGCTTTTAACTTCGTTCAACAAGTTAGAAATGGGCTCCAACGTATCAAAAATTGGAAGTTGTTCCGAAAACTTCTAATCGACAAGCACTAGTCTAAAGAGATAATTTTTTCCATATTTTTCGATGAAATTACGAGTTATTTGCAATACGAATTATTTGCTAACTGGTAATCGGGAGCTGACTGTTTTTATGTTCACAAATGATCTGCATTCTTTTTAAGATTCTTAACTTCATTGAGTTGTAGGAAAATTTTTAAAGATTAAAATGTTATTATTCCTGTGACAAAATTTAAATGAATTTCGATTAGTCTAGGGGAGAAAAATTAGGAGTGCAAGAAGAGAAATCATTTATTTCATCTTTAACTTCTTCATATTAATAAATGTAAGAAGTATTTAATGCCTCCATTGTTTGTTAGAAGATTATGAAAATTCTGATATGGAAGAATTCATGATAATAAAAGAACAGTCTTTTGAACAACTTCAGTTTATTGAATGCTCAGTGATTAAACTTAGTTTATAATACATTTACAAATGCATAAGAAGTCTTAAATAATCATCAAGTCACTTTTGTAACCGAAGAAAGAAATTTCCAGACATAGCTATAAGAAGAAATAAATACTACTATGCTAAATGGAATAGAAAGTAGCCAAATCACCACTGAAAACGAATAAAATCGAAAGACACTGTCAACCTTATAATAAACGATTATTTAACCAACAAAACGTTTAGCATTCTTTAATGTATCAGTATCGTTGAAAAGTTAAGTTTACAAAATTTATTGCAGTTATAAAAAATTGCAAAGCAAAATTTATCAAAATCCTATACAGTGTTCCATGATGGACATTTCTTATCCTTCATGACAGCAAAAAGAGCTGAGATAAATTTTTCAATGGTCATATTGTAAAACAATATGACAACTACAGTGTCACTGCTTTCTTGACATTTTCGTAACTCGGTCTATGACCTCTAAGATATTCTTCATATTCTCCAGAGTGTGGTGCTGGAGTATGAATTATTGATAGCGGAAAGAGTACCGTATGATTTAAGTTTAATCCTTAGACCATAGTTCCGAATGATAGCTTTTAGCATTTCATAAAGTGAGTGCATGGCGGATCGTGCCAGCCTTTCCTGAGGATCAAATGACTAAAGAAAGTAGATACCCTCTTTCATGCCTCCAGCAATTGTGATTCATGGCAGATAATCTGACACGCAGTGTCAACAATGTTCAGATATAGTTTATAAGGTATTTCTCCCGCCCTCTTCGCATGCCTTCGTTGTGTGGTGGTCTGCACGCTGGGCGCGTATCCCAGAGATCGGCGATTCAGTTCCCGGCGAAGGCTTTCCGAAATTTTAATCTTGCCTGCTTCCAAAAATTTCGAATGTCTTACACTGGCCCCCCGAACTAAAAGGGTGATCGATGATGATTCTGCACACCCAGGATTTGGCGATTGGGCTCCCTAAAAACCCCATTCGCGCTTTAAAAGGAGTATGTAAGGTATTTATCCCCCTTTCTTCGCATGCCTTCGTGGTGTGGCGGTCTGCCCGCTGGGCGCGTATTCTAGAGGTCCGAGATTCGATTCTCGGCGAAGACGTTGCTAATTTTTCATTTTGCCTGCTTCCAAAAATATACCTAATGTCTCTAGAAGTTTCACCATATCATTACAGACTGGAAACATGCAAATACAAATTAAGTCCATATGGGCTTCCACGAACCAAATGGACATTTCAAAATCAAAATAATTCTGTCTGCCGGTAAAAGGTAACTACTTTGCGTTGAGATCAAAAAGGCCATTCGCTGATCTGTTTTTAGAAACTGCTGTGAAATTTCAGTGGAGGAACTTTAAACCGAATAGACTAGTCTGGCACCAGGTGAGTTTCAGCTTTACCTAACTTTCTAAGAATATTGTGCTTGCCATTGACCAGAATGTCAAAAGAGCAATGACACAGTGGCTTCTCTACGGTACCTCATCTTAAGAGTTTTTGCAAGACATGGAAAAATTTGACTCATGATTAGACAAAATCATCATGGTGATTATGTGAAAAACACAGTGTCTGTCATGAAACAGAATGTATAGTGTTAGATTAAAAAAAATTGCTTCAAAAGCAAAAGCAATTTTTTTTTTTACCTATACAAATTTACATTTGGAAACCCATTTTTCCACTCATACTTAAGCTAAAACACGTTATTCAGAATGAGAAATTTTGTACAGTGGATTTTAATGCGAAGTATTATATGTAAAGAAAAAATTGGGGCGAAAGAGATGATACTCTTTGAAAGAAACAGGTTGTATTCGAAACTTTTTATATGCACAGAGCTTCCCGTTATGAATAAATAACAAACTAAAGTCGAATTAAAAAATTAAAAAGCATCACATAGTAAGAAAATCATAGATATACGCATATGTCTATACGAAAGGAAAATAAATATAATTCACATGATGCTCGTATTGATGAGGCATTTGTTTAATTCGAATTTCAATTACCGTTTAATTTGCACTTCTCATGAGTTACTCATCGAAATAAGCATTTTTGAAAACACAGAAAGAACAGATGGGAAGAAACAAATGCCTAAGCAACCAACTCTGATTTGTAGAAAGCAGCCAAATGAGTGAGTAAACATTTTTTTCATTTTTTATTGTGCTATTGAATTAATACGCATATAATTCCCAAATCAATATGTATGAGTATTTATTTCACTATAAAACTTTCATTATTGAATGTTAATAAATATACATCGTTTTATAATGTTATTATTATGCTATGTTTTTTTTTTTTTTTTGACTTACTGTTCTGTTGACCTCTTTTTTTCTTTCACATGACAGTGTTTTAAAATTGTGAGATTTTTCACTTTTGCTTTCTTTCACCCTACGATGTTTCATACATTGATAGATCTCTAATTTTTTCGTAACATTTCTGTTTCTTATACTTTATATATGGACATTCCTTTTTGAAATCATCTGCGCTCAAGTAAGTTTTGGATTCTAGTACAAGTAAAATATCTGATATATACACTTTGCATTCTTTCGTGATTATATAAAATGAAAAAAGAAGGTGAACAAAATATAAATAGCGAACACAAACTTTCAGAAAACTACTGTAGGCGTTTCAAGCAGAGAACACAACTGAAAGCCAAGGAAAGAACATTCTTATTCTCCTTAGTTTGTTTCGCTTCCATGTCAACAATGGACTTTCCAAATCCGCTGTTGCGACAACGGGCAAAGGTTTTCTTGGTATCCTCTGTGAACTTACCAAAGGAACTAATTCCTCTTTCTGCGTCTTCTGCCCGCTGGAAGATGAAGAAGTTTTTCCGGAAGAAAAATCTTCCTTATGCTGTTCTCCATCATAATAATGTCTGTTTTTGGCATCATAAGCGGCATCATGAGCCTCTTCGATTTTCTCTTCTTTCGTGAATCCTCTATCTCGTTCACCTTCCTTTGATCCATGAGCTGTGCCTTCTTGGTCCTTAAGTTTCGATCCGCTGGTGTGAGTGGATGATCCCTTATCATGGTGGGCATCTGCAATTAAAGACATCACAGGTAATGAGGAAGAATATAAACAAAAAATAAGCATGAAAAGTAAAGCAAATATTAACTGTATCCCCTTTTATTACATTTTGCTTCGCAACATCTGTATGTCAGATAAAAAAGGGTGTTTATCACATTAATTGGCATGGATAAAGTATTCTGTAACAAGGCTTCCCTGTACCAAAGTTAAGTTACTTGAAACTTTAGATCTCCTTAAAATTTGAGAAGATTAGTAAACGTTGCCTCTCTGACAGACTTTTCAAATTGCATGTCAGACAAGAATACTCACAATTCCTTAAGATTTATAATACATGTTAAAAAATTATTTAAAACGTTTTATTTAACGAAAGATATTGTAAGAGCTGGAAATAGAAATAGAAAACACAAACATAGATGCAAATCCCCCCTCAAAATCGGATAATAATCAGTTTCAACTGTTAGCTAATAAAGTAATTAATTTCAATAATTAGTCAGAATGAAACTAATATATAAAACTTTCATCATATATATTACATTACAAAAAATCTATTTTGATGAAGCGTTTTTTGTGGGTTTCAGATAATTAATGTTGCAAACCGATTTAGCTCTTCTACAGCTAAATCGGTTTGCAACGAACCTCAAGCTATAACGAAAGAACCATTTGGTCCCGTCCAGATTTTCATACACTTAATGTTATTTTATCCGGCAATATCGAACCTCCAAATTTGTATGAAAATCAGATATAACGAACTTTATGATTATCTTAGGCTGACATTTTGTTGGTAATTCTCATAGCTCTTTCGAAAACTTCTGCAAATTTTAACTGAAAAATTATCGACTCTTAAAATAATCCATGTTTAGACTATTAGGATAGTGACTATATAAGTTTACTATTTTTTTTTAAATTTTCCCTCCTATGTATCTGTGCTCCAGAAAAGAGCCATTCGAGATACGTGTAACACCCAGCTCTTTAAAAAGCGGAATAGACGATAAACATACCTTAGAAGATCATATTGCGTCTCAAAAATATTTATTCATAATTAAAAATATGTTTTGAGGGATCTATGCATTTTGAGGGAATTGTCTAAATCAGGGATGGCTAACCTTTTTCGATTAGTACACCAGTTAAGTTACGGTTTATTATTTCAGGTGTCCAGTGAGCCACTTGTTATATTTCTTTTTAAAATTCCTCTTTGAATCCCTGCTTTGATTTCAGACTATCGAATTATACTCTGTAACTATATTTGATGTTTAGTTACTAACTTGTAAATTGAATACACAGCATTTTAAAAATTTCAGTTTAATATTATGATAATGTAAAGGGTCCTAAAGTAAACGCACTTTATGTAAGTGAGAAAATAAAATAAATGTAATCAATGCTAGTTGTTTTCAATTTTTTATATTATGAATACAATTCAAAATACATTATTATTATTTCCCTTAGAAAATGGTGTCCTCTTTAAGACGCTTCACTAAATATACTTTTTACTTTTCAAAATACTTTAATTTAATATTATAAATAAACACTACAATATTACATTAAAAAACTACATTCATTTCATTCCATTTAGTTCGACACCTGAACCTTATTAGCTATGTCAATTATTTTTGGGTCATTAAAAGTAGTCTTTAAAGTAACACACAAAGTTCACTCAAATCTGAACTAAAGCGGCTCCTTGATGAAAACACTTGATCATAAGCGTATTAGGACCCAAACATTGTAAACAGTGCTATTGCAAATTTTTTCATGGCTGAAAAGTTTTGTGGGAGATCATTCCGTTGTTCAAGGATTAAGTTTTCTGACTTTTGGATGCAATATTTAAAATCCACACATTCAACTTCTTCTAATGTTTCGCCAAGTTTGACAAATTTGTTCTCGTATGTAGAATTTTCTTAAAATTCTGTCAGTTCCATCTCTAAGTTGACAATATCCGAGGGTAAACAAACACTACTCCCCCCTTTGGAACAATCTGGGCATGGCGCGCCCTCTTTCGAGCAGCATTGCTCACCCTAGTATAATAATAATAATAATAATTTATTCCTTTTCTTTCATTGCATCACTTATTTATGTATGCGTTTAAAAAAAGAAATTAAAAAAATATTGAAGAAACAAATTTTACCACCGTAATAAAAAAGTCAATCAAATCTCCGCGCGTAAAGTGTTAGCCATCATTTAATATTTAGTGTAGTTATAAATGGGGGCTTAATTTCTGCCTCTTTTCTTTAGGAGAGCCAGAAGTTTCACTCTCGAACTCTTTCTCACATTGAAGCGAAGCATTGAACCTACATAAAAATATTTAATTTTCAAAATTATTCTTTTCTCCCTTGGCACAGTGTGAGAACCACTGCTCTAATGTAAAAGCTTTATGTGACATTTATTTAAAAATTCAGTTTTTGTATGGTAACTTTTCAAATTATTACATTTAGGAAACCAAATAATCTGAATCAATAAAGAGACATTAACGTTCATAAGTGTTTTCATTCGCTAAACATCATTTTGCTATAACTCGAAATATGAGTTTTGTTGCATACCACCTTCCTATGCAAATATAGGAAACCCAAAACGAAACTGTGTCATAATTTACAGCTTAGTTTGGGCCCTGTCTTTACTACTTATCCCACTCACGTACTTCCCAAGAAAAAGTCCGTTTGCCTACAGGAGATTTCTATGGTGGAAAGGGACTAGTCACCCATCCGTTCTAGAAAATTTCATAGCGGCTTGAGCTCTTTTCTGAATCCGCCTTTGATGGCCGCTAGTGTTGGGGATTTCTTAAATGTTGATTTTAGTGAACGTAAGTGAATAAAAGTAATTTAATATGACCCTGTAGTGCGCCACCGAAATACCTGTCGTGTGCCGTAGGTTTGCTATCCCTGGTTTAAATCATTATTTTTATATTAAATAATCTATGATGTAAAATTACTTACATGCAGAGAAACTAAAAAAAAAAAAAAAAAAAAAAAAAAAAAGAAAAGGAATTAAAATACTGAAAAGAAATAGCATTTGTAATTAAAATTTAATAGGATTTTTAAAAATTTAGTATTCACTTTTTTGGTATGTGTGAGAATGCTAAAAATTTTTTATTAATGATTCGCCAGTCAGTTTTTTATTTATTTATTTTTGAGATAAATGTTTCTTATCGGATATAGTTTTCAGTCTTTTTGGAGTTCATTATAGCGGGATTTGACTGTATTTTCAATTTTGGTAGCTATAGTGTTAAGCATACTACTGGTTATAAAAATAATAATGATCAACAGTAAGAATTTATAAATGAAATTTGGGAGGAAGAGAATACTTTTAAATGTATAACATTAAACTACCGACATTAGTCCATTTAGCTATCTCAGATGAAATTCTTAATTTCGGTAATGTTAACATTTTCGAAAACAGTTCTATATTACCAATAGTAATAAAATTAAAGAATGACTTTAATGTTAATGTCAGTACCCTTAAATAATAAATGTAATAACATGCACTGCAGACTTGTCGGTGTTAACTGAAAATTGCTGTAGTTTCTTACTGATATGTATTATTTTATGGCGGAGATCATTAAAATAAAAATACGTGTGTTGTTGTTAAGTGGTTACATGTTCTCAATTACAATTTTTACAGTTTTGTTGCTAGTTTCATACTGAATTGTTCTCAAGTTAATTTCACAAACCTTCTCAATTTCTCTGCAGGTTAGAATGGAAAATGCAGCTTACCATTTAAGAAATATTCTCTTTCGGCTGTTATTTTGTATCCTCTTTCTCTGTATCCTTCTTTCCTACGTCCTTTGTCCTTGTCCAAGTAGCCTTTGTCATTCTCTTCTTTGTGAAGATTTCGCTCGCTGTTGTGTTCCCGATGCCCTTTCGATTCTTCGCTGTGATGTAATCTGGAAGATTCAGCATCTTCTTTCAGAGCATGACTGTCTTCCTTCAAATGGTGTCCATCGTGTGCAACATGGGGTTGTTTTTTATAATGAACTCCATAAGGAGGACTGTAATGGGGTGATCGGACATGGTCGTCTGGAATGAATTGAGAAACATATTTGTAAATGTTGTTTTTGCTTTGAAACAATTTTTAATTTAACATTTAACACTGTTTGGCCAAGAAAGGCTATTTGATGCAACTGATGCGTTTATGAGCTTTTGATACGCATCAAAAACTTTATTATTTAAAACTAATTAATCATACTTCTTAACAATGAATCCGCGCAAATTCTTATAACTCAAACACTTAAATGAAAAGCTTATAAGGATATTAAAAGCTCGAAGTTAATTTTGGGGAAGATCCTTCCAGCATATAAAAGATATTGTTTCGTTGGAAGGATAAACAGTTTTGCAAGTGATATGTTTTACTTCATTTAAACACTTCCAACTACGTTTACTGCATGATCGTCGGCTTTGTACAAATAAAACAGCGATACAGTTTCACTAGAAACAAGATATTTTATGACAAATTTGTGATAGCTGATTAGTAAAATGTTACAAATGTTTAACAAAGATAACCATTAACAGATGCTTTAATTTTTACCAATTATTTGGAAATATAGTTCAGTAACTGACACATTATTCAGTTGCGAGCTGTTATTATTCTTCATTGCATGTCTTTTCTTTACGTATTGCAAGATTATCACTTCTGAATATCTGAACACCTAATTATAATGATATAATTAGGAGATCAATCTCAAACTAAACTAATTTGGAGATCAATCTCAAACTAAAAACTAACTTGAGAAAAAAAATAAAATGCAGGAAATCAAATTGTATGCAATACATTAAAGTTTTCAAGCACCACATGTGTGCTTTTTTCCTTTGTTGCTCGTTGCCCAATGCCATTTATCTGTAAAGTGTATAATTAAATTTACTAAATAAGGATTTGAGTAATGTAACATAAGTTGATTTATATATTCAGAGAACGGTAGTATTATAAATTTACTTTCAGGTTATCTGTAAATTCGAAAAATACTGCAATCTCGTTTTGGTATTTACCAATATCACCGAATCATATCTGTTTAGGACACCTTGCATATGCAGAATTCTTCGTTTCCTTGACTAGAATTAAATGAATTAGTGTGAAAGATTTATAACAGAACTCTTTCTATTAGTTCTTCTTCAAAGCGCAAAGGCACCTATCTGCTTTGCAGTAACAGAATAAGTATTGACTTATGTAATATAAGAGTTCTAAGAGTCTGAAACGGATTATAGTTTACACATATCACATAAAAATGGTTATATTCTATGCGTATTACATAAAATTGTAAAGGTTTACAAACTTTCTCTCAATATTTCACCTTTTATTGCATGAAAATTAATAAAATATTTACTAATTATTGTATTCATAACTCTATTAGATTGAAGTTAGATATATACCCTTCACAGCTGTTTTAAGTGTCCAGCAAAATGCGTTCAATCTAAAAAAGACAACTATTTTAGAAATCGTTAAGAGAGTGATTGAAGAAGACATCGTTAACAGAGTGAATTGGAAGAAGTTTTCTGTTATCGCCTATAGCGTAGCCAAACTGTTTGTAACAATCTGATTATAAATTTCTGCACTATCATTCAAAACTAAAAGTTTAATGGAGAAATAAAATTAAATTAGAAATCTTTTGCATTTATGCATTTATATTCAATAAATCCATGTACTCTAACATAATAACTCTAATATAAGTATTGTTACAGGTGAAATACAGAGAAGGGAGCTTTTTTTTTTTTTGAGTAATTACTTGCTATAAGGTTTCTTTTTATTACAGTAAATTTAATAAGTTTGCTTACCAATTATAGCAGCTGTTTCCGTGTCACTTCCTGTGGCAACAGAGCCTCCGGTGTGCGTTTTATGATGATCGCTGTTCTCTTTTGCGTGTAATTTTTTATCTTCGAAGGAGTCGTGATCATTATGGCTTTCATGCTCCTTCAGCCCGCTTGTCTTGTCATGAGCTTTTTTAGCCTTATCATACTCCGTGTCCAAAAAGTGCTCTGAAACAGCGTTACAGATTTTGTCATTATTTTAATATAAAAAGTTCATTGTACGTTCTAATTATGCGAAACTCCACCCAAGACTCGCGAAAATGTTTTTATGAGACAAAGCAGTATGCCACCGAAATAGTTATTTGGCATGATGTCGACGAAAAGTATTTGAGTTGCTACTTTTGTATACATACACACAACACACATCTGTTTTAGTCTGTGAGCAACGTGGAAACTGTGCGCGATGCCAAGTTCGTGCAAATGTCTGATGTTCTTTTAAGCGAAAACAGATCGCTATCTATATGAGGAAAACAACAAAGCAAAAACATTACAGAAGGATTTTCTCGGGGGGGGGGAATATTTTATTACAGATTTTCTTTTTTGAATTTTGCATAGAGATTGTCCTTTTCTGAATTCTTAATGCACCGCCATTTTGAAAATGGTTCCTGTCTTTGGCACATTAGTTTGTGAAAATTTTGAATCTCGTCAAGAGATACCCAGCTGTGGAAAGAAACCCGTTTCTCTGCAAAGTCGTCAACGAGTTCGTGACTTTTCTGGGGAGATGCGGATAATCAGAAAGTACCAATTTCTTTTTGATGCTTTCTAAAATGTACCCCCATAGCACAAAACATCCTCAGGATGTCCTATTTAAGTCGCAATATCCCGGGACATACTTAGGATGTCCTAAGGATGTTGATTCTCAGATGTCCTGAGGAGATCGTAATTTAACATCCTGAGGATGTCTTATTTAAGTCGCTATGTCCCGGGATATGACAGGATGTCCTGAAGATGTTGTTGATTCTCAGATGTCCTGAGGAGTTCACCAATTTCACATCCTGAGGACATTCATTCTGCATTGTCCGGAGGACTTTCGTTGTCAAACATTTTGAGGATATTTGTTCTCAAATTTACCAGTTTTAATTTTTTGACATTGCACATCTGAAACTTGCACATTATTTTATTTTTCATATGTATTTTACTAAGTTGTTTCTAAATGCTGTACATTAAAAATATTGATATGATTGATGATTTATTCTTGTTATTTTGTTACTAAATTTTAACTGCTATTTTTTCTGACGTTTTTTAAAAATTTATTTAGTCATGGAAAAGATTTTTTTCAATGGATTAGCATTTTCTAGAATATTTGCAAAATTCTAAATAACATATATTTTTTTATAAAAAATGTATAAATTACATGTATAATTACTTACAGATTACAAACCCTACTACAAATATAGGTACAATTAGATATAGATATATTTTATTACGGAAACGAATTTTTTTTTTTTTTTTTTTTTTTTTTTTTTTAAATTTGGGTATGTAGACATTAGGTATTTTTTTGGAAGCAGGAAACATGAAAAATTAGCAACTGCCTTCGCCGGGAATCGAAGGACGGACCTCTGGAATACTGGCCCAGTGTGCAGAACCACTACACCACGAAGACACGCTAGGTGTGGTGGTGGTGTATTTAATTATGGCAAAGCACACTAGGGCTATCTGCCTAAGGGGAGGGATGTCATTCGTGGAGACTTTCTAAGGGAAACTGGCTCGTATACACGTTACACGTGGGGAAAAACCACGAAAACACCCATGCAGCCAGCCCGTTCGCGGGATTCGAACCTCGGATCGCACTACCAGGGTTCAGCGACTTTACCGCTCGGCCGCTGGTGGGCCGAAGACACGCTAGGAAAGCGGGAGAAATACCTTATATTACTTCTCTTTTTAAAGGCCGACTTTTTTTTTAAGGGGATCCAATCACTAAATCCTGGGTGTGGATATACCTCATCCAACACCTTTTTAGTTCGGGCGCCACTGTAGAGACATTAGGATTTTTTTGGGAAGCCGTAGAGATGAAAAATTAGCAACCGCCTTCGCCGTGAATCGAACCACGGACCTCTGAAATACCGGCCCAGCGTGCAGAACTATTACACCACGAAGGCACGCTAGGAAAGCGGGAGAAATACCTCATAAGGAAAATTTTTTTTCCCTAATTACAGGACAAAAAATATTTTTCAATCGCGCGATCTGTTATTGATATTGAATTACAGTCGTGCGATAATTTCGCAGTAAAGATACATCTCTGATGACTATCCAAGATTCTAGAAACTTTGGTCTTATATAGAGATGGTCGTCTTATAGAAATAATGCTTAATATCAATATTTATTTATAATCTCAGAACTATTGGTCACTTTCAGAAGTGGTCGTTTGAGAGGCGATATTCTATATATTTATTTACTGATACTCTCAGATTCCAAAATTTGTTTATATTCTCAGAAATATTGGACGGAAGGTGGTCGTCCCATACATGCAAAATTTTACATTTCATTAAAAATGAATTCGGCATTATTTAACTATTTCCCTATTAATTTAATTAATAGATAAAGAAAAATTAGGAAATAGTACTGTTTATTACGGAATAATGTAGGAAGTTCTACAGAACTATCTTTCGCGTCATTGCACATTGTATCCGGCAAACTACTAGTTCCTCGTATTCTTCCGCAAATCCGTAAACATCTGTCTGATTTGAAACGAAATCCAAAATGGCTGCGCCATGAGGTTAACTTGTATGGATATTTTTTGTTGCATGAAAGGTAAGTTCAGTTGCAATACTTGTATGTTTACTTTTTTTGCTTTTCGAATTTATGTTATTTATGTCATTTTGACAGTTAAATGTTTCACAGCTTTATGAATTGTTACCATTCTGTCGTGAATTACGTGTATCTCAATGGCTGGCTGTCTTTTCAAATATCTAATTTGCCCTGCTATCCAAATGTTTATGACTGAATTTTTTTTAGTCTAGTTTATGCATTCAGTTTCAAAATAATATGTGTGATCAGATTGCTTATTATTTTATTGCAGCAATAAATTTATGTTAAATAGTTTGAACAATTGTATAAAAATAAGAGTTTGCATTGTTTTGTCCAAAATATGTATGGTTGAAACATTATCTTAATCTAGTTTGTAATTCAAGTTTTTTTGGGGGTACTGTTCTGTTATTGGGACCAGAATCGGAAATGTATGAACCTGTGTTCGTAAGTATGTGCATAGATGTGTATATGTAGACACACAAACATACAAATATACAAGCATACATAAATACAATTCTGAACCCGGTCCTGATAACAGAACAGTACCTTTTTTTAATCTTTTTTGAATATTTTATAAAAGGATTAAGCATTTTTCAAACTGCATATCATTTTAAGATTCGACTTGCAGGAAGACAAAATATGGTCATTCAATCAAATGCTTATGATTGCTTTTAACATTTTCTCATAAATATTGTTTGCATTTTTATTGTATTTTAGATACTTTAGTTATGTAAAGTGAACATGAGAATATTAGGAAAGCTGAAGAATATGAATAGCTACCATAATACATGTATTTTTTCATCGAGCCCATTGTTTTAGAAACCAATGCACCATTATTATATGCTGGCTTATTTTATAGTTATATGCAGTTTAATTTTATGTTCATGTTACTGTAGTATTGTCATTATAATAAAAGTATTGATAATTTTTGTTGAATCTTGCAAGTTGCCTAACATTCAGAATTATTACTACCGAATTTTACTGATAGGTTTTTTTCGAGTTGACATAATCTGTCTGATAAATAAAATAAACTGGTGTTTAAATTATATGCATTTCTCTTAATGTTTCATTGAAAGTGAGATGGAAATATAAATGCTATCCAGAAAAAGTGAATTCTTTTTGCCTGAAATAACAAACTGTACTAAATGATTAATGTTTATATCATTTTAGAAATGTCAATATTAAAGTTTCTCCCCTTCTCTTCTTTGATTTTGAAATAATTTATAATAAAATAATATATGCATAAGTGTAATTAATGTAAAGTGTCATTCAATAATATAATTTATTTTTACTGATATTTTTATATTTCTTATCTGGGTTTTCTTTTGGTGTTAGAAGGAGGAAAAGACTGTAATGTTTTAATTAAGGAAATAATTAAAACATTACAGTCTTTTAAATAACACAGTTACAGTAATGTTTATTGAAGCAATCAGTACTGTGTGATTGCCAGTGATTGAATAATGTTAAAATGCATTGTTCATAAGGAAATTTGCTTATCTTTGTGTTATAGATTTTATTTTGACACAAGCTGAAATTTGAATTATTGGAAGCACTTTGAAAAACCCGAATTATTTCCTGAATCATTAATCAGGCCAATATATAACATACAAATTTTCATACAAAATTATTTCTTTGAGCATATTATAAAGAGCTCATTTAATTTTATTATTTGTACAAATTTTAGACAAAAGTAGCATGTAACAGTTAAAGATTTATTGAAGCCTACTTGTTACTTGTGGTAACAAAGAAGTGTGAAAGATATTGCCACATTAGCGAACATGACGATCATTGATGCTTAGTTTAGTAATTTAATAATATATTGAGAAATGCTGGGAACTTTCAGAAGTAGACATTTCGGAAATGATGGGCTTGATAAGAAATTTACATGGTTTTATTATTTATTCTTTAGTTAAGAATGGATTTTAGATGTTCATGTGAAAGAATTCTGTTTAATTATATGTGAAAGAATTGTTAAAGTTTGGCATTTAAAAAAATGAATTAATAATATGCAATTATCTTTTTATTATACATATATTACTATATATTTCTAATGCGCTATGTAAATGTCAGTGCTAAACAATTGAGATACTATTGTCAGGGCAATCTTTTCTTATACATGAAAAATTCTGATACTTTCTTATCATCTGCCCTCACAGCTTCAACTTATGCTAAAACAGCAAGAGTATGCACACGATAATAGCAAACTATGAATATGCATACCACACACATGTATTTACATGCTTTATATTTAATCTTTATTTCTGAATAGTATTCCATTGGATGAAAAATATGTGAATATTGACCCAATGTATATATTTTTGTGTGTGTGCATCCTAAAATTTCTTGTTTCTTATAAAGTGCTTATTTGAATTACTACTTGTGAACAGAGCAGTAGATATGAACCATAAACTAACCATTTT